ATTAAGAAAAATCAGAATCACTCTATAATTTTTACGATAAATCGAAATCTCTATTTATATTATTTTCATTAATTTTGTTTTACTTTTTTTATACTACTCTAAATAGGATTCTTCCTTTTATATATGAAACTAACTTTTAATAATATATAGTATATTAGTTATTATATTAATCCTATCTTAAGTTTCTTATAAATTTTCGAATTCTATATAAACGGAAAAACGATTATATTTTTAAAATTGATTATATTTGTTATTTCGATAATTCGCTATTACATTTTATTAACTTAAGTATTATATAAATAAATATACATAATTAAAAAATATTTATAATTTGTTTATACTTTAAAATCAATATTTTAATTTTATGGTTTATTAGGACCATCAGAATAATATTAAATAAAATTAGTTTTTACTTTGATTTAAGATTTATTATTAGATTATATTTTAAATTTAATAATTTTTTTAAGAATTTATTCTTTATTTATTTAAAAAAATATAAATAAATTAAAATAATGATGAATAATATAAAAATATATATATATATGAAAATAAAACTATAATATATAAAATAAAAATATATATATATATTTATAAATATATATAATATATATATATATATATTTATATTTTTTTTTATTTATATATATATACGAACATAATTATATATTACCATCTTATTAATTTTAAATGAATATTTTAGAAGGAGGATGTAGTTTATGAACTATTAAAGTTTTTTAGTCTGTATCTTAATTTTTTATTAATGATAATCTTTTTGCAAATTATTCTTAATTTCTTTGTTTTTCTTATTTTTATAGTATTTTTATTGATTATTATTATTCATCAAACTATCTTTTATTTTTCTGAATAATTATATTTTTTTTTTTATTAAATCTATAAACATTTTTACATAAAAATTATTAAAATAAGCGTCTAACAACATATTTTTTTTCAGCAATTTATCCTTTATAGAGATAAACATTTATTTATATTTTTTTTAAATTTTTTCTTCTTATTTCATTTTTTCTTTTTAAAAGTCCCTTAAATTTTATTAATTTATTATATTTTTTGTTTCTTAACATTTCATATCTAAAAATTTTTGTCTTTGATTTTTAATTAAATTTCTTGTATCTATATAATTCTTTATTATATTTTCAGCCAAATTCAATTCCAATATATTTATTCGTTCTTTATTTATTTTATTAAAGGTATCTTATATATACACCTTATCTACACAAGAATTCAATAAAGCACTTGTGTTTGCAATAAATTTGATTTCGTGATCTGATAAATAAAAACCTTGTTAATATTTATTTATTAAATCATCTCTTTATTATAGTTTATTTTCGTTTTTATGTTATAATTAAATTAATGGTTAGAATCCAAAAGAACTATATCCGAATCCTTTTATTTATGAATTATATAATTTTTTAGAAACATTTATACAAGATTAATATATTTCTTCTTTTTATTAATTCCAATTTTAAATTTCTTATTTTATTTATTAAGATTCTTCTTCTTTATATGTTTTTTAATTATAATCTTAATAGGGTTATTTAATCATTTATCTTAATGTTATTATTTAATTTTAATCCAAATCAGAATTCATATTTTTTATTATTTCTTCTTGATTTTAATACTATATAGAATAATATAAATAAATATATATATATATATATATATATATATATAAATATTTATTTATATAATTATATTTTTTACCTCATTGAATTTTTCAATAATTATTTATCTTAATTTTTTTTAAAGTATTTTATTTTAGGTTTCTTTTTTTTTTTTGAAATAAAATATTTTATATATTAGATTTTTTAATTTACTAATTTAAAACCATTTAAACATGTCATTAGAATTCTTAACTTTTTTATTTAACATTTTTTAAGCTTAATATTCTTCCTATTATATTAATTTTTCTTTTATCATTTATTTCTTGCTCCAAGCTTATATCATCATACTTATATTATTAGTCATATTATTGATTATATATTCTCTTTTTTCTTATGGACTTAAATATAAATATATATTATAAATGTATATTATATATATATATTTTTATATTATTTGAAACGTTTATAGAGAATTTAATTCAACTACAGAAATACCAAATTAATATAATATAGACTCACTTATAGGTACTGCTGAGTCTATATTTATTTTAACTCCATATAAATCGTTTATTTTTTAATTATTAAGGCTTAAAAAGTAATAGCTATAAAGTTCTTTTTATTTTATTTTTTAATAATAAAAAATAACGTATTTTTTACATTTCCAAATAATTTAAGTAAAGGGTTAACTATATTATCTTTTTGTTTTTATTTTTTACTTGTAATTTATTATTTTATAGAATTTTAAATTAACTGCCATTCAGGTGACATTACGGCCTAATCTTAAGAATTATCACTTTTTTCATCTATAGATTTAATTGATACACTTTTTTTTATTTTAGTAGGAGAAAATTTCTCCTTTTATTCTTAAGCTTAAGGAGAAATTATACTTTAAAAATTTTTATTTTTTAAAGGAGAATTTAAAAGCTTTGATTAATGTGAAGATGTGGCTGCTGTATTTTAGGTCTCAATTGAAATCATCATAGATTGCTTTTATTTATAATTTGGTTTAGGTTATAATAGTAATGTTTTCTAGCTTTTAATTTAAATACTTTTGGCTTATCGTGGGCTTGGGTTTTCTTTTAAAAGTTTTATATTATCAAAATTACATTATCTTTAATTATTTTTATTTTGAGGAGTTAGTGGATTTCGGATTAGTAAACCGGATTTTTTCTTTAGACTTATTTTAATTTTTTATGGGTCGTTTTCACAATAAGTAGTAAAAAGTTCCTCCATTTCTTATTTTGTTTAGTATTCAAATTTAGGGATTTCATGGCTTTTTAATAGTAATTTTTACCTTAGAATGAATTTTTACTAATTTATTTTAAAATCGTTGTTTTTTGATGGTAATTATAACATTTTTTTTAAAAAAAAATTAATTAATTTCTAATATTATTATTAGAAGTATTTTTTTTTTATTTTTAAATAATTTTTGTTTTTTTTTGTTTTTTTTGTTTTTTATAAAATAAATAATTTATTTTTGTTAAAAATAAAATTTAAACAAAAATTAACTAAAATAATTTTTTTTAAAAAAAAAATATTAAAGTTAAATTTTATTTTTCATTAAAAAATATATTTTAAAATAAGTAAAAAATTATTAAGTTTAAATTTGATCCTTATAATTTTATATGTATTATTATTATTTTAAAATTTATAAAGTAAATTATTTTTATGTTTAGTATATAAATTATAAATAAACCTTATTTATTTATTAGTTTTAACCTTATCAATTTATAAATAAAATAAATTAAAATTTTATAAAGTAGAATCTAAAGACATATTTTTTTATATATTTCTTTTTTAAAATAAATGAAATTAAATTGATTTACATAATTTAATAATAAATTTAAAAATTTTATTAAAAAATAGAATACTAAACAACCTATCATAAAATTGAAAATATTAAAGAAAAAAGAACATACAATAATTAAATTAAAAAAAAGACACATTAAAACTATAGACAATTACATAATAAATAAAAAATATTTTAGATATTAAGAAAAAAGAAATTTATATTTTATAAATAATATAAATACTTCTTATAATTATAACAAAAATATATAATTAATAATGATATCGGTAATTTTATTATTTTATAGATTTAAAATGTTATATAATTTTATAGAAAATATATATATATATATATAAATAAATAATTTATATATATAAATTATATATATATTTATATATATATTTATATATATATATATAATTTAATAATTTTTATATATAAAATATTCCTTTTTTTTCTTAAATAATATTTTTTTTAAAAATTCATTTAAATATAAAGTAATATATATAATACTTAATATTTTAATTATTTATAGTTTCTTTTATTCTTTAATAAAATTACATATATAAATTATTATAAAAAAACATTTTTTTATATATTTAAATTTTATAAGCATATATCTTTTTTACTTATCATACTATTTTTTTTTGACGTCTCTTTAAATACTATATTTTTTTATTACTTTTATATTAATTTATTAATAATTTTTATAAAAAACTTTATTATTTTATTAATTACTATTTAGGAAAATCGTCAAAAGCATTATATAGTATTATAGCCTAAAAATAATAATTTTATGTAATTATTGAATATTATTACTTGATTATTCAATAAAATTTGTAAATCCTTATATAATTATTTTTATAGCATAAAATTATTCAATATTTATTTATTTTCATATTAAATAATGTAAATAATTATAAAAATATAAAAATTATTATATTTTAGTCTTAAATATTAAATTAATAAATATTATTTTTGATTTTTAGTAAAAGAATTACATCATTTTTTTAAAATAAAGATATATATTTTAAATGTATATTATAGTGTTTTATAAATTTGATTTTCTTTAACCTATGTAAATTCGATTATTTTATATAATTAATATATATATTTATTTAATTAATTTTCTAAAATTTAAAATTATATTTTATATTTAAATATGTATAATATATATATATATATATATATTTTTATATATGTGTTTATCTTTTTATTTTATGAATTTAATTTTTTAATTAAATTAAATTTAAATATTTTTTTATTTTAATTTTATTTTAAAATAAATCAATAAAAAATAAACAATTTAAGCTAAAATATATATAAAATTCAAGGCAAATAATAAAATTATACAAAATAATCAATTTTTTTATTAATTATTAAATAAATAAAAGAGACAATATAAAAAGGAAGATTTAATAAAAAAAAATATACGTATATTTTATATTAATAAATAAAATAAAATAAAATATACAGCAAAAATAATAAAATAAAAAAAAATGGCCGAATATAAACAAGTAGATAAATTCATAGTAACAAACAAAATATTAGGATAAGGAGCTTTTGGTTAAGTAGTGAAAGGTTTTTATAAGGAAAATCATGCTTAATTAGTTGCTGTAAAAGTAATATAATTACAAAAAGTATCCCAGGAGGGTAATTTTATAAAACTCTTAAAGCGAGAAATAGAAATATTATAAAAAATTGATCACCCAAACATAGTAAAATTAATATATGCTACCCGGACTACTAGTAATCTATATATGTTCTTAGAATATTGTGCTGATGGAGATTTAAAATCACATTTAGAAAAACGAGGAGGTAAACTTCCTGAATCAGAAGCAGTCTAATATTTTAGATAGATATGTGAAGGTTTTAAAGAATTATATAAAAATAATATTATACATAGAGATATTAAGCCTGCTAATATTCTCTTACATAAAGGAGTGGCCCATATTACTGATTTTGGGTTTGCTAGATGCTTAGATTCTACAGGAATGAATTCTTAGTTAAAATTGACTTATTTAGGAACACCATTATATATGTCTCCATAGATTTTGGCAGAGGAAAATTTTTCGTCTAAATGTGATATTTGGTCCTTAGGGATGATGTTTTATGAATTACTGTATGGAAGAACACCTTGGACTGGGAAAACACCGTCGGAATTACTTGAAAATATAAAAAAAAAACAACTTGAATTTGCAGAAAATCCAGCAAGGTCGGATATAGTAAAAGATATGTTGAGAAAAATGCTTGTAATAAGTGATTAGGAAAGAATTAATTGGGAAGAGTTGTTTTAACATAAAATAATTAAGTTTGATAATGAAGAAGTGAAAAGAAATCTAGCAGAAATAGATAATAATGAAGGAGATTTATTATTTAAGAGTGTTGCGAGAAACGAATATTATGTTAATTAAACAAGAGTAATTGGTGTTAATAAAAAAGCTGGAGTAAAAGCCTTTTCAAATAATTATGAAGAATAAAAATAATAAAATAATAAATAAGAAGAACAATAAGCTGACATGTAAGTTAACAGAGTAATATATATAAAATATATAAATATAATCTAATAAATATAGATATATTTATATATATATTTATATATATATATATATATATAAATTTATATTATTTTATATAATTATATTTATATATATATTTTTTTATTTATTTATATGTTTTTTTATTTATTTATTTTATAACATATTTACATATATTATATTTAATAATATGTTTATTTTATAATTATATATTATTTTATTATATTTACTTTTTTATAATTTTTAGTCTGAAAAGCTTAATATTGGTGAGGTGTCTGTATTATAAAAATAGTTAAAAGAAAAAAAAGATTTAATATTAAAAATAGATTCATTTTTAACTTTTCATAGAAACTTATAAATATTTGTTAATTTTACTACCAATATGATTTTTAAATTATATAAGGATAATATACTAAAAATTCCTGAAAATATGTTTTACTAAATAATATTTTTACTATAAAAAAATTAGCTTATTGGATTCTAACATTTATTAGATATAATGACTGATAAAATACTTTAGTAAGATTTTACTTAAGAATAGTGGATAATATATAAAGAATCTAAAGATTATTAAGAAACATTGTAATTAATTTTTTAGGATATTTAATATGTAAAGCCTTTTTTTTAAGAAGTATTTGCACGAACGGAAAAACAATTAATAAATGTATAAAAAGATGAAAATATATAATAATTTTTTACAGTATTAAATCAAGAATTTAAAAATGATGAAAATTTTAATAATATTTTAATCAAACATTTAAAAGAATTCGTAGTTACAGTAATTTAGACAATTGCTAATATTAATTAAAAAAAGAAAGAAATTCTTTAATGCGTTATGTTTGTAATAATATGTTAAAATCCTTTAAATATTTTATGTTGGAAAGAAGATGATCTGATGAGCTCTGATTTCCATTAATTTTATGATCAATATGAAAATATGAGTGAAGAATAAATACTTAAATAGATTAAATAGGCTATTAATATTTGAAATTATTTTAAAATTTTTTTTTAAACAATTTTTAATATAATAATCAAAAATAAAATTTCTATAAAAATTATTGTATAATATACAATAAAATTTAAAATGAAAATGTAAAGAAAAATAATTAAATTTATAATAATATATTTATAAAAAATATATATATATTTATTAAAATAAAAAAACAAAATAAAAAAATATATATAAATTATATATATATATGTATATTTATATATATATATATATATATATATATATATATTTATAATAGATAATAATTTATAAATATCTTTTAAATTTAAAAAAAAAAATATTAATATTTTTAATTAATAATAAAATTAAATATCAATATATATATATATAAATAAAATAAATAGAAAAATACTAATATATATATATATTTTTATGGCCGTTATTTTAGAAACATCAATAGGAGATTTAACAATAGATTTGTATACAGAAGATGCACCATTAGCAAGTAAAAATTTCATAAAACTATGCAAAAGAAAGCATTATAATAATGCTTTATTTTACGATATATAAAAGAACTATTTAACGTAAATAAAAACGAAAAATCCTACCACTATATATGGGTAAGATACGTGTTTTAAAGATGAAATTAGCCCTAATTTAAAACATGATCGAATCGGCGTAGTTTCTACAAGCAACCAATTTAAAAATTAAAATAATTCTGAATTTTTTATAACCTTAAGTGAGCAAAAGCTAAAGCATTTAGACGGAAAACATAGTATTTTCGGATAAATTTCCGAAGGATTTGAAATCTTATAAAAATTTAATTAAAATATAATAGTAGATGAGTAAAATAAACCATATATAAATATAAGAATTTTACACACCATAATATTAGATGATCCTTTTTTAAATGAAAATAATTAAGATGAAGAATTTTTGTAGTCTTCACCAGGAATAATAATGAAAAGTGAGAATAATAGGTTGGAATATCACCAGAAAGATGAAATGATGAAAAAATTGAATAAAAGTGAAGAAGAAATAATCGAAGAAGCGAAATAATAAATCGCAAAAGTTAGAGAAATTAAGCTTTAAATGCTTGGAGATATCCCAGATGCAGATATGAAACCGCCAGATAATATTCTTTTTATATGCCAGTTAAATTAGGTGACTTAGGAGAGAGATTTAGAGTTGATTTTCTCTAGGTTTGGGGCAATTAAAAGCTGCGAAATCGTGCGAGATTGGAAAACTGGGGAGAGCTTGTAGTATGGCTTCATTGAATTTGAAACTGAGAAGGCATGTTAGGAAGCGTTTTTTAAAATGAAGGGAGCACTGGTAGATGAGAGGAGAATTCATGTCGATTTCTGCTAGAGTTTGTAGAAATTCAAGATGTAAAAAATAGGAAAAAGGGGAGTAAAAGGTGAAGGAATGTTAATTGGAGGATTAGCAGATTAATTAGAGCTTAAAAAGTAATTTTAAAAGAAGGATATAGAGAAGAATTATTAAATGGTCTTTGATGAAGATAATAAATGGAAGAAAAATTAAAATTCGGAAAATTTTTAAAGCAGAAAAGAAAAATTGGAGGAAATTTAAAAAAAATATAAAGGAGAAAGAAAAGTTTATTAAGATGATAATAATAAATAAGTAAATAAACATTAGGATTAATTAAAAAACAATACTTAATAATAAAATGATTATGATTATAAAAATAAAGAAAAAAGAAGTGAAAAAAAAAGTATAATAGATTAATAAACAGATGATGATAATAAATATTATCGCAATAATTAATATAGAGATTAAGATAGTGAATAAAGATATTATAATAATAAATAAAAAGATAATATTAATTATAGAGATGATAGTAATTATAGAGATAATAAAAAAAGAGATAAAAGTAGAAAAAGAGATAAAAGTAAAAATAGAAATAGTAGTATTAGTTAAAAAAAAAATAGGAGGAGTAGAAGTGTAAAAAAACATGAGAATAAAAAAAATAGGAGCAGAAGTGTAAAAAAAACATGAAAGTAAAAAAAATAGGAGTAAAAGTAATCATAATAATAAAAAAAAATATTGAACTAAAAATATAATTATTAAATTTTTTATAAAAATAAATAAACAAACATTAATTTTTATTTTTTATTTTCAATTTTTAGGACATTATCCATATTTTTCAATATAAGCATTATATTTTTTCTTCATTTAACTTTCAGTCCACATAAAAGTGTTAACTTTATGATCTATATAGGCTTTTTGAAAATTAGTTTTATATTTTTTATAAATCTTTTCTATTGCCCACTCTTCATCAATAGTTATTTATCCTTATTTTTATTTAGTGTATTATTCGTCAGGGAGCTTATTATTTTCAAGGATTTTTTTTATATCAGATAAGTCTATTTCTTCATCTATTTCTATAAATTATTCTTATAAAGGATTTAGTTTTCCGGCTTTTTTTTACTTCAATAACATATTTTGGTCAAGCATTTAGGATATTTTTTAGTTTATATTTGTATAAATGCCAAGCTTTGTGAAATTTTCTTGTTAAGATTTCGATGGGTCCCAACCTTTGTCATTATATACTTAAGTTTTATTTCTTAATTTTTAGATTTTCTTTTTCGCAGATTTTATGTGGGTGGATTTATTTGATAATCTTCTTATAGCCTTTCTTTTCATGTTTATTTTTTTTATTGTAAGTAAATATTATTTTTATATCTATTTAATATTATATTTATTTTAAAAAAAAATATATATATTTTTAGAAAATAAATATATAATAAAATACATAATAATAAATATGATATATAAAAAAATTAATGTAAATGTAGAAAATATATTAATATTAAAAATATGTAATTTATAAATATTATATATATATCTTTATTTCGAATAATATATATAAATATTTAGAATACATATTTATTATTATTATTTTTAAGTATATAATAATTTATTCCATTTTTTTAATCTATAAAAACATAATTTAATATTTTTTATTTTATATGAAAAACTATTTATTATATAAAACATTTTTTTAAAAATATAAAAAAATTACATATTTTAATATATATAAAAAATAATCATGCATTAATAAATAATCTTTCACATTTATCTTTTATTTTTCTAATTTTATCATTTTAATTTGAATTTAAATTTTTAATTAAAGCTATAGCAATAACATTTCTACTACTTCCACAGGCTCTTCCTAAATCTTTTTTTGAAGGAACAAATACATAAGGAACATTTTTATCTTCACATAATAAAGGTAAATGTAGTAAAATTTCTAAAGGTGTAGCATCTGAAGCCATTATTATCAATTCAGCTAAACCTCTATTTAAGGCTTTAGTGGATTCATTTGCCCCTTTTTTAATCTTTTTTTTTAAAAAAATTATATTTTAATTTTATATTTATTTTATAAAATACTTGCTTTAATGAAGAACAATTTGTAACCAATTATATTAATTCTTTTTGCAAAACATCGTCAGCTAATGGAGTTGCTCTTTCGACCTTTTTTAATTTTTTTTTAGTGAATTTTTATAGGCTTTTTATAAGGTATTTATTTTACCATTTTTATTTTATTTTTGATTGTTTTTTTTTTTATTTATTTTATTTTTATTATTTTTAATCTATATATAAATTTAACTTTGTTTTTTTTTTATTTTATTTTGAATATATAAAAATATAATGTATGTAGCCTTTTTTTTAATCCTTTTATATTTTTTTTAATAAATTAAATATAATAATATAATTTTTTTAAAAGTATAAAAAGTAAAATATTAGATTTTTTAGAATTTTTAAAAATTCTAATAAAAATATAAAATTTAAAACAAATATTTATTTTATAGAAATATTAATTATTAAAAATAAAAATATATATATATATATATATATATATATAATTTTTTTTTTTTATATATATATATATACATATTAATATATTTATTTTTTTTCTTATTTATAATCAAATAATATATATTATAATTTAGTATAAAAAAAATATATTATACGAATATTTTATTCCTTTATTAATATTATATTTTTTATTATTTATTTTTATAATTTTCTTATGTTATTTATTTAATAATCTATAAAAGAAAAAAAAAAATAATAATCAAATTTAATTATATATTTTATTTGTTTAGATTAATTGAGTTTTTTAAAAAGCTAAGGAATAATTTAAAAATAAATATGTTTAAAATTAATATATATATATGTATATATAATTATTAAAAAAATATATTTATTATACAACATTAATTAAATATAAAATTATAATTTCATTTTTAAAAATCTGGATTTTTAACATCGAAAACACCTAAAATCAAGTCCTTTAAATTATTTATTTTTATAAAATTAATATAATTATTTTATATATATTTATATAAATAATTTAATATTTTATTTATTTTATATAGTTTACAAGTTCTATTTCTTTATATTTTTTTATTTTTTTTTAGTTTTTTTTTATTCTTTTCTTCAGAACTTGATAATTCATATTAATTCCTATCATCTATTTTTAATTATTCTTATCTATTTTAATTTTGTAATAGATTTTCTGTATCTTTTTTAAATTCTGGTAGAAAATTTTATAACTTTTAAATTACTTATTATTTTATTGAAAAAAAATAAAAATAAAAATAAAAATTATATTATATAAATATTTACGATTCGAAGATTTAATACTCTTAAAATCAGGCTTTTATTTTGGATTTTTATTATCTAAGAATTTCTATATTACGAATTAATTAACATTTTCATGTTTTTTTTCACTAAAAATATTATCAAAGTAATCTTTTTCTAATCTTAGTAAGTCTTTATTTGATTTTTTTACTTTTTCTTAATCTTCTTTAATTTTTTCTTAATTATTTACATCTTATTTTTGATCATTTTAATTTAAAGATAAATCGTTATTTTCGTCTAATTCTTATATAAGTATTTTCTTTATCATTTATAGTATTACTTTTTTAT